ATTTCGTATACAACAGTCATACCAAATTGCGTAGCTGTGTAAACTGAAACAGAATACATAAGCAATTGTAGAGAATTCACAGTGGAAATCTCTAAATTTACAAGCATTTATCATTCCAGACAGAATATGGAAGTACCACATAGTTTTATGTAACATGCTGACACATTAATGCTGCAGAATAAAGAAAATCAAATGTCTAAAATAGCCTACAGAGCTGCTGCTTACTTGTGATCTGAAACCATCAGTGTCTAATGGGTCTTCGTATGGCATAAAGATGACTTACATTAGCTTTCAGGTTGCTATTCTGAGAGGCAAATTTTGCTAAAGATAATAGCTGAGAGATTACATTTTCTTTTCTGTCATTCTAAATGCAAGTCTCATTATCTGTATCATGTTTGGCAATGAGAATTTTAAAGCAAAATGTGTTTTCCCTAATTGCAATGAATAACATAAAATGTTAATGTTCTGGAATACTGACAAGGTTTACAGCACTTTTTACATTACTACATTTTATCCTTTGAATACTGTAAACCAGAAAATAACTTTAAATTACTTAGTGTTGTGGAATATGCATTTCCTGTCTTTTCTTCTTCTCCTTTCTAAGGTAAGTTTCTGAAAAGACTATTTTTATTGGTTAAACAGCTATGTCATCTGTCTATAAGGGAATGGCAGCAGGAGTCTACAGCATGCTTCATCACAAGTAACGAGACAGTATTCAACAGGGACTCTACTTGTTTGTCACAGACATTTCTCTGACCCATGTACAAAGTTCTCTAACAAAAAACACACACGCACCCACACACAAAAGAGTGGTCAAGGGATGGGAACCAGCTGCCAAGCCATGGTCCCAGCAGCCAGGCCAGCTGACTAGATAGCAACAACCAGATGGTACTGCTGGGATTGTGTGTCTCTGCTAGGAGGTGGCAATGGGATGGCACAACATTTTTCTGCCTCACTGATTCCAATCATGTCTTTCCCCAATGGCAAGCCTGTGCAATTACCAGCACTCCAGGAGGTCCACAGACAAGCCTTTACCCTCTAAACAAAATACAGCTTGTAGGCCATACCAGCTGCCAAACCACACACATAGTGATAGGTTTAGAGAGGTCTGAATATCTTTCTAACTCCATAGTACAGGCAATAAAAATATAACTGTACCTGCAGGAAAGAAAGCTTTAAGTGACACTGTATAATGCTCACAATAATACAAACTCCAACTTAATCAAAATGATAATGACGTATGCCAATCGTACATTACTTGAAATTGAGCGATTTTTACGTTCTGACAAGTTTACAGAACTAGGATAAATGGCATGAATGATTTCAATATATGCTCATACTTTTGAACCAAATGGTGAAGGTTAAAATCTTTCCTTTCAAGGGCCTCAATCAGCCACAAAGGAAAACAGTAATCACTGTCTTTTCAGCCAGCCCAACCGCATTTGTCAGCCCTTTCTCTGTCAATGCAGCCAGAGCAATCAACCTGCCAAACATTCAGAATGGAAAAACAATCTGAAAATACAGGGTATAATGCACCTGCCAGTGAAAATGGCCATTTCAAGAAAAGCTAGTGATCTCAGTGACCCTGCTGAGGAGGCGGTGGTGCAAAGGGGAAAGAACGCGTAAAAGAATTCTTAGTGATCTCCACTCTCTTGCACATTGACACTTCCTTACAAAGCATGCCAATTACAGCTTTTGTGCTACTTAAAAAAAAATGAAAGCTTTTTTGGGCAAAATAATCACACGGAGAAACAGAAAGACACTGCTCCTTTTTAGATGGATTCGCATGTACAACTGACTATTAATCTGAAAACTGTATAACTTGTAGCAAATCCTAAACTGTATTGTTCAAACCAAACTGAAATTTTAGCGTCCAGTCACTGTGGGTCCGAACATTGATAAATTTATATTTACTAGATATGACTGAATAGCAAATTGCAAGACAACTGATGTACAATGAACATTTAATCATGTAAAAAATATTTGTTTCCCCAAGCAATCTTGCTGCAGTTAACAAAATGCCCTACATTTAGAGACCTGGATTCTGGTCACTCTGGACAGCTACTCTAGCTTTAAATGTAATGAATTAGAAAATGCATCCCAACTTTGCTGCATCACACTGATTTTAAGTACCATTTTCAATGACAGGAGTCAAATTCCTAACAAATGCAGATGGTCAACTGTTTAGTGCTAAGTGACCTCATAATCTACATATTTTACAGAAAAGATCTTGTAGCAGATTGCTCCTCCCTTTTAATGTTTCAACATAGATGGTGTATGTTATACAGAGATCCAAATTCCTTCATATTACTCTCAGTATGTGTTGTCATCTTATGAGTTATTGCTGCAGCTGAGAGCTAGACATAGCAGAGCAGAAATTATTTCAATACTTTTTTAAGGTATCAGGGCTGTTGATGACTCAGTCCTATTTTTAGGTTTATTTATGTACAAACATCCCCCTGGTTCATAAGCCTTGTAGCCTTAATTCTATTGGGGTTACTTTACATTAAGCAACACTATTATTCATTTATTTATATAAATAAATAAATGGATTAGTCAAGAATCTTGAATTAAAACATAAAAGCTTAGAACATTAAAATATTGTATACCGATTTGCAAGAAACAAAAGAATGGTCCCTACCCAGAGAAACTTACAATCTAAAGACACAACCAGAATCCACTGGAGAACAGGAAGGATCAGAGTTAAGTTTTTAAAATTTCCTTTCCTCTCCTCTTCCCTCCCCCTTCCCCCAATCACCTCCTCTTACTTTAACAATAATGGTCCAAGTGTTAAGTGTTTGCAGGGGCTGTGATACAATATGATGAATAGCAACACACAGTAAAAAGTATTAAAAGTTCTAATGTTGAAAAACAGTTTACCATTTCTAATGCATTAAGTACTCACTTAAAATCTAAATGCATCACACCACCACAAAATCTATCTTAGTCTGAACTTTTGCGAGATGACCTTCTCTACTTCAGTCTCCCCGCTGTTCATTACCGACTACTTTATCACCACATTCTACAGACCATTACCCAATGATCCCACTGAGGGTTACCAAAAGAAACTACACCATTTGCTCAAGAAACTCCCTGAAAAAGCACAGGAACAAATCTGCACAGACACACCCCTAGAACTCCGACCAGGGATATTCTATCTGCTACCCAAGATCCATAAACCTGGAAATCCTGGATGCCCCATTATCTCAGGCATTGGCACCCTGACAGCAGGATTGTCTGGCTATGTGGACTCTCTCCTCAGGCCCTATGCTACCAGCACTCCTAGCTATCTTCGAGACATCACTGACTTCCTGAGGAAACTACAATCCATTGGTGATCTTCAGAAAACACCATCCTGGCCACTATGGATGTAGAAGCCCTCTACACCCATGTTCCACACAAAGATGGACTACAAGCTATCAGGAACAGTATCCTCGATAACGTCACAGCAAACCTGGTGGCTGAACTCTGTGACTTTGTCCTCACCCACAACTATTTCACATTTGGGGACAATGTATACCTTCAAATCAGCGGCGCTGCTATGGGTACCCGCATGGCCCCACAGTATGCCAATATTTTTATGGCTGACTTTGGGGACGAGAGCTGATACTAACGCCCCTACTCTACTTGCGCTACGTTGAGGATATCTTCATCATCTGGACCCATGGAAAAGAAACCCTTGAGGAATTGCAACATAATTTCAACAATTTCCATCCCACCATCAACCTCAGCCTGGACCAGTCCACACAAGAGATCCACTTTCTGGACACTACAGTGCTAATAACCGATGATCACATAACCACCACCCTATACCAGAAGCCTACTGACTGCTATACTTACCTACATGCCTCCAGCTTTCCTCCAGACCACATCACAAGATCCAGTCTACAGCCAAGCTGTAAGATACAACCACATTTGCTCCAATCCCTCAGACAGAGACAAACTATGATCTCTATCAAGCGTTCTTAAAACTACAATACCCACCTGCTTAAGTGAAGAAACAGATCGCCAGAGCCAGAAGAATACCCAGAAGTCACCTACTCCAGGACAGGCCCAACAAAGAAAGTAACAGAACACCACTAGCCGTCACCTTCAGCCCCCAACGAAAACCTCTCCAGCGCATCATCAAGGATCTACAACCTATCCTGAAGGACGGTCCCTCACTCTCTCAGATCTTGGGAGACAGGCCAGCCCTCGCTTACAGACTGCCCCCCCAATCTGAAGCAAATACTCACCAGCAACCACACACCACACAACAAAAATACTAATCAGGTACCTATTCTTGGAACAAAGCCTGTTGCCAACTCTGTCCACATATCTATTCAAGGGACACCATCATAGGACCTAATCACATCAGCCACCCCATCAGAGGCTCGTTCACCTGCACATCTACCAACGTGATATATGCCATGTGCCAGCAATGCCCCTCTGCCATGTACACTGGCCAAACCGGACAGTCTCTACGTAAAAGAATAAACGGACACAAATCAGACATCAAGAATTATAACATTCAAAAACCAGTCGAAAAACACTTCAACCTCCCTGGTCACTCAATTAAGACCTAAAAGTGGCAATTCTTCAACAAAAAAACTTCAAAAACAGATTCCAACGACAAACTGCAGAACTGGAATTAATTTGCAAACTAGACACCATTAAATTAGGCTTGACTGAAGACTGGGAGCAGATGGGTCATTACACAAAGTAAAAACTATTTCCCCATGCTAATTTTCCCCCTACTTTCAAAGTGGTAGCCATGTTAGTCTGTATTAGCAAAAAGAACGAGGAGTACTTTGTGGCACCTTAGAAATTTGTTAGTTTCTAAGGTGCCACAAGTACTCCTCCTCCTTTTTCCCCTACTGTTACTCACACCTTCTTGTGAACTGTTTGAAATGGGCCATCCTAATTACCACTACAAAAGTTTTTTTCCTGTTGATAATAGCCCACCTTAATTGATTAGTCTCGTTAGAGTTGGTATGGCAACACCCATTTTTTCATGTTCTCTGTGTATACATATCTCTTCCTACTGTATTTTCCACTGCATGCATCGGATGAAGTGGGTTTTAGCTCACGAAAGCTTATGCTCAAATAAATTTGTTAGTCTCTAAGGTGCCACAGAGACTCCTCATTCTTTATACCACTTAAGTTAGCAATACATCTGATACAATTTCTAGTTTTTAAAAAAAATGCTAACCCTTTTTTCCCAACAAGACGAAGATAAAGCAGTTAAAACTTTAAAAACCGCACAGCAGCATGAAGACTGGAAATGGGACTGTATGTCACATCAATTTATTGATGAATATTCATTACAATATTCTAAGTGGTTAACTCCATGTTTTTTCCTGACAGGGGATCTAAGGTTATAAACTAAGCAGTAAAGAGTGCATAAAAGTAGCAGTTACTTTTAAAGTGACAAATCTCTTGTCGATGAATGCTAAAACCAGATTTAATGAACCACTGAATTTTTACTTTGAGTTAACATCAAAATTGTGATGTATTTTGGTGAGATGGAAAGAAAAGCAGTGCTGTAAATTAGTCTGCACCTAGCAATAACACTATAGAGTGAAGTTCCAGTTGTCTGAGTAATCTGTTGCTGCAGAGTAGGTTAATCAAAGTTAAATCATCTGTGAAATGGGTGGCTTTTGTTAAGCTGAAGTTTTCCATCTGTATTTCATTGTATATTTATGGCATGTACTGAGAACTACAGGCATATATAAAACTAAACTATTTCTTAAAGAGTACTGTTGGAATATATAAATACTGGGAGTGTTATTAGTATTGCTGTAGCACTCAGAGGCCTTATGTGCTGAATTGTTAAATATAGTTAAAACCTGAGTTAAAATAATCAAAGTCTTAACCAAATAATATTTTCATCATACAAGTTTTTATGCATTTTTTAAAACCAATAATTAAGCAGTTAGAAGTCGCCAATAACAAATTACAAATCCTCAGTGTGGAGCTAATGCAGCAATATTGTCTTTAGTTAACTGAAATAATTAGATACGAGTTGCCCAAATGCATTTTACTGTACAGAGACTGCAAATACAGTAATTCTATAATCTACAAGAGTAAGGAATACAATAATCGTAAATTAAGAGGTTCCCAGTTTTAAAGTATATTACATGTCAAAAGTGTCCCATCTATGCAATAAGATATTGAAATAAGTCAAGTCCATCTGGTTCTGAGGAAATACATTACTAAATAGCATCCCAAGCAGAAACTGAGTGTAATTCTACATGAACTTTCACCTTTATACAGATCTTCTGTTGATTTTCATGTTTATAATACTTACATGTTCACATATGCCTTTTTCTCTTTTTGTGTCTTTCTCCCCAGACTCCTGTATATTATACTTATTAGTACCACTGAAGATGACAGCTTCAGGCTTTCATGCAATATTTTATTCTGCTGCCTATCAGCAATTCACTCATAGGAAGTCACACTGAATTCCCTAACGACAAACATGAACTGCAAAACTTTCAGGGAGTGTGCCAACCTGGACACTTCCCCCAATTACTTTCCAAATGTAGGGTGAGTTTTTACTTTATGTTAACATCAAACTTATAAATGTATTTTGGAGAGATGGAATGAAAGGCAGTGCTGTAAGTTAGCCTATACCTAGAAATACTAGAATGTGAAGTTCCAGTTGTTTGAGTAATCTGAAAGATTTTATAAGAGAGATGGTTATAGAGAAAAACTGTCACCTGACTTTTCTTACTAGACATCCTACATTCAATTCTCTGCTGTACTGGAGTACAGTTGGCAAACAGCTAAGGGGAGGCAAACATGGTGCTTTGCCATCTTTCCGTCTCCCCAAATCATGGGCCTGTCCAGAGGTTGAACTGGCACAACTTTCTCTGCTACCACCAACAGCCTCTGCATTGGTTAAGGTCACCTGAGCACACTGTGCTCCAAATATATACCCTTTGATGGGAGTGAGGAAAGCCAGAATGGGCTGGCTATGTCAACTGTAGGTTAGCCAAGGATTCCCTCACAGCAGGGGAATCCTCAGCTGCTCCTTTCAGCTTTACAGTCACTTAGTACTGCTCTGGTACAGCACAGTACAGTAGAACCTCAGAGTTACAAACCCCTTGGGAATGGAGTTTGTTCGTAACTCTGAACAAAACGTCATGGTTGTTCTCTCAAAAGTTTACAACTGAACATTGACTTAATACAGCTTTGAAACTTTACTATGCAGAAGAAAAATGCTGCTTTTAACTATCTTCATTTAAGTGAAACAAGCACTGAAACAGTTTCCTTACCTTATCAAATCTTTCTTTTTAACTCCCCCCCCCCCCCGTTTTTTAAAATAATTTACGTTTAACACAGTACTGTACTGCATTTGCCTCTGCTGCTGACTGCGTACTTCTGGTTCCAAATGAGGTCTGTGGTTGACCGGTTAGTTCGTAACTCTGAAGTTCTACTGTATCTAGTTTTAAGAATTTGTTTCATGCCAGTTACGTAGGATCGAGGCATGTGTATATACACACAAAATTTAAACGTTTAACAATAAATCAGCCACATCCCATCTTTCGTCTAACAAAATCAGTGTTTCTCAAACCCTGGTCCATAAGTGCTTCCATGACAAAGGTGCAACATGGCATTTAAAACAAGAGGTGGTCCTACTATCCCAGAAAGCTTCCATTACTAATGAGCCAGTCTTTAAGCAGAATTCCCTTGGATGCCTATTCCTGTTTGGATTACACATGAATCATAGCAAGTCTTTGTCAGGTGTCCCTGGTATTAAAATTATTTTATGATCAAATTTGCTGACACCATAAAAACTGATGGGTAGCAAATCACAAGAGGACAGCCCTAAACTGTAAAATGACCCAGATAGATTAGATCAATGCAGTGACAATTATGGGCAACAGGAGAAGATTTAGTACAACTGAATGAATGAATTCAACACTCTACATTATGGAAAGGTAACAAAATAAGGAAAGAATGTTACCAAGACAACATACTTGTTGCATTGGAACAAGTTTATTTTCATCTCATCTCCTTTATGTTGTTCTAATACTACTTTAGGTAATCAATCATTATAGCTACTGCATAGGTGTGGGATTAGCACTGGGAGGAAAGACAATCCATAAGAGAAGATCTGCCTGAAGAAATAGTCCACAAATACGAAAAAATTCTGAATTACTGCAATAATAGTCTGTGCTTTTTTATTCTCTTTTAAAAAATGTTTTTAAACAGATTTATCTTGACCTACCTCAAAGCTGGATTAGTTTTTGACCACCACAGGAAGGCCACTCTAGCACCAAGGACCCAGACTGAGCAAATTCAAGAGCATTAAGGCCCTCCATTGAGAATGTCTGGCTGCCTATCCCCAATGGTAATTTATTATTTGTATTACCGTAGCACCAAGGACTCCTACCATGGATCAGGACCCCGCTGTGTTAGGTGCTATGTTTGCTTCCATCTGTAACCATGGATATCTGGTTTTTGCTCACTTTTTCTAGACCGTATTCTTTACATAGAGACTAGGAGTACTTTGTGGACACACAAGATCTTCAAATGGTAGGTGCAACCTGAAATTCTGAAGATTCCAAACCAATATTAATGGCCCACACTTTGCATAATTACAATAGGCCCTCGGAGTTATTTCATATTTCTAGTTTTAAATACAAGAGTGGTACATTTATACAAATAGGATGATCACACTCAGTAGATTATAAGCTTTATAATGATACCTTACAAGAGACCTTTTGCATGAAGCATATTCCAGTTACATTACATTCACTTCTTATTATGTTTTTATAAAACCATATAGACTGCACAACGTCACACACATCCTACATTTCAAGACTCCCGTTTTCTGTGGCAATTTCACTTTCTGACTGTTGTATTATTTGTAGTCCCCATATTAAAGAGGTGGGAGCATAATTCCCAGTTATTTATTAAAGATGTATTTGGAAAGAAGTCGAATGAAAGACTTTCAGGCTTCAAAGCAAATTTGTCAGTCCCATTTCTTAATTCAAGTGTCAAGTCACTTTTGAGAGATGCACATACACAATACCAGTTGTACAATACAATTAAAGCACTAGTTCTCAAGCGAATAGGAAGCAAGGAACTTTTAAATTTGCTTGCACCCACCCATCCCAGCTTATCGTGTCCAAGGGAGGGTGCTGGTAATCACCAGTGGGAGGCAGACAGTTCATAGTCACTTTCCTGAACAAAAGCTCTTTAACTACAGCAGATCTGTTGAGAGTAAAACTAACAAGGATCATGCAATCCCAGGCAATTTCACTCACAGCAGGCATTGTAAGTAAAGCACTTCAGCACACAACCCATGTGCTAACTCTCCACCTTCCAGTGAGAATCTGAAAAAGGGAAGAAAATGAGAGGGGGTGGGGAAAAACGAGAGACTAACTGAAGGAAGAAAGAGGGAAGAGAATGAGAACTTTGGTATCTCACTTGCTTTTTGAAATAGTTATATGGGTTATTACAGTTTATAGGTAAGATTGCCTTGATAGATTAAAAGTAATGTGGGGCAATTTTTTTCCTGGAACTGTGGTCTACTCCCTGGGACTGTGTTCCACGAGCCAAAAGCTATCTGGAAATAATGAGACAAGATGAGTGAAGTAATATCTTGCATTGGCCCAACTTCTGTTGGAGTGATAGATGAGGAAGAGTTCTGTGTAAGCTTGAAGCTCATCTCTCTCTCTCCAACAGAAGTTGGGCCAATGCAAGATATTACCTCACCCACCTTGTGTCTCTAATATCCTAGGACCAACACAGCTACAACGCTGCATATCACAATAGAAATAATGGAACAGCAAAGAACCTCACATTTAATATTTGCAGTATTTCCATTAGGAAATGCTGTTTTCCAATAGTATGGACGTTCCCAAAGTTGCATGGAAGGGAGCCTGATGTAGAAGGTATCAACACAGAAGTTATTTCTGTCACCAAAAACACATTTAAATGAATATTGTCAATTTAAATACACTTTTGTCCAATATTTTAACCTACTGTTATATATAACAAAATTAGTATCACTGAAAGGTTACAGGGGAAAAAAAAAGCTATTTTCTATTTGTTTACTTTGCATATAGTCAGGTTTCACAGTTTGTGTGGATCTCATAGCAAGAGGGAAGAGAAAAACATTTGTAAAAATTGGAAAGAGTGACTATAAAACCACCAAAACATGAAGAGGAATTAAGAGGCAGTTGTAGTACTTGAAACTATTTTAAATCAGTTTTAAATTCATTACATTTCAAAATAGCATTCTTCCTTTAAAATGTTTCAAGTTTAATCTTTGAAAAACCTGAACTGCCTTTTTCTAGACTATATAAGAAGGTTGGTAGACATAACCAGTTGTCTTTTCAATATATGTTCCATCACACTGTCTTATTCAGTGGTCTAGATATGCAAATGGATGGAAGGAGCAGTATTGCATAGTATGCTACAGGGAGCTTCCTAGGCAAAGGAGTGGTTATTTTTAGGAGAGTCAACGAGGGTACAGAATTTGAGAATTAAGTCATCTTTAACCCTCAAAAAACGTATGTTACCGGACTTAAGCTGGATTTTCAGGTTTAACTCTGAGTTCAATGTATCCAGTTCCCCCTTTATCATTTAAGTAACTAGTTTTAAAACACCTCTCCCCACCCAAATTTCTAAAATAAAATGGTATACAAATCACTCTGAAATACTAAAATTTGTTTGAGCACTGGTAACCAGAAAATCATGAATTCTAATCCAAGCTCCATGGTTTTGGAGGCAAGAGAGAATAGAGTAAGTTACTTAACCTCTGACTCAGTTCCCTCATCTATAAAATAGGAATATCTACTTACTGCTCAAACATCTGATGATTATTAGTAAAATACTTGAAGAATGGAATCTAAAATTTTATCTGTTCATTAAATTTTCCCTCAGCCTATGCAAGATTTGCAGCAACAACATGCTAAACAGAGACGCACTCAACCCTTAGCAGACTTAGTTTTAGTACTCTCAAAAAAGTAAACTCTCCTACGTACAATTTCTGCAATAAACTCCTGTTTTTTTTCAGACAAGAAGATTCTTTAAGGAAAAGTTATTCTATCACTGAAAAATTCTGAGATGCCAGCCAGGTATGATCACACCAAAACAGTGAATTACATGATGCCAGGAGAGCGGAGGAGAGTTTGAAACACTGACGGCAGACACCATGACCAACACAATGCATGTAGAATGTGAATGCACAGCTATATGGTTCTTGCTACTGCAAGCTCTCAGAGGCAGAATTGAGAAGACCTCATAAATAAAGAACAGTTAAAGTGGAAATCAGCATTTTCATGAACTGGTGAGTTTCTGAAGAACAATGTGATTCCTTTGATGTCTACTGATGTACCCTTGCATGGGTGCTTGACAAACAAGCATTCAGCTTTCACTTTTGCCAGTGCTCCAAGTAGAAGCCACCATGCATAAACGGAAAAGAAAACTACAGAAAAGCCTTTGAACTGGTAAGTATTTTAAAAAACCCTCATATATGAAGGGGTAGAAAGCTTGTTCACAAGAGAATTGTTTTGCCTATGATCTGTAGGCAATATATTGAATATTCAATAAATATGTTTCATTGAAATATTAGTACATATTCCAGTTTGTCAGGTAAATAAAATAAATACTAGGTCTCTCTATATATATTTTTGTGGTGAAATAAAACATACTATTTAAATACAGAAAAAAAAATCATCTTCTACTCTAGTTTATCAAGTAATAAAGTTTAGAAACCTGCCCAGTTAGGTGTTTGGAACATATACTGGATTCCCTTACATGACGCGAAAAAGGGGGGAAGAAAGAAAAGCTCTTTTTCAACAGAGGGGTAGTACTGTGATGTGCTTTTTCTCGTTTCTCTTCTATATAGGTGTGCTTCTAATATAAGTGGCTTCAACATAAACCACTGTCAATGTGTAACAAGTGATAGTGTACTGATGCAAGTTAGAGTGCTATACATTCTGCATCAAACCTTTTCAGACAATATGCTTGTGATTCTTAAATGAAAGGTTTAAGAACTAAATCCTGTAAAATATAAATTTAACAGACTAAATGAGCCCATAGCTTTTATCTATATTTTCTTGAGAAGATACCAGAAAATTAAACACAAACCCCAAGAAAGCTAGGAAGTACAAAATGGAAGTTGAAATTCTAGGCCCTCAATTTATGTTCTCATAGTAAACTTGCTCATCAGAGATCAGTCAGGCAGTCACACTGAACAATTCCGTGTTTTTCTGATGTGGACTAGGCAAAGACCAAATATTGTCACTTGTGATCTAATTCCCAGGTCTCTAAAGGTTAACAGCAAGTGAATTAAACCCACTCAAGCTTTTGTTTTTTTAAACAAAACTTTCCTGCAAAGACAGCAAGTTACAACTGAAGCTTTAACTTAGAAATTTCCAACTGTTTTCAGTTTGTACCATAAACTAAGAGTCAAACATGTGATTAGCATATTCAACTCCTATTCTCATCAATGGAAATTTGATCAATGATTAAGGGCAGTCTCTGTCCCTACACATAAAAAAAGTCTTGGAGTGGCATTTTTTCAATCAAATGCTAGTGATGGCAGCATGCCACAAATGGCTTAAGAACACATAAGCCTTCAAATAAACTGATTTTGTTACCTTAATGTACTCGGAACACATTCTACATTGCTTAAACAGACTGTATAAGTCTTCTAGAAAACTGTGTATTTGGGAGAGGAAAATACAAGTGCTTAATAGGTTCCCTTTAATTAATTACAAGATGCAGAATGACATTCTTTAAAAAGACGTATATGGACTTAACAGACATTACCAGTCATCCCACAGATCAATTTACACTTAACCATGTCGAGCTCTGAAAGACTATTTATTCTGTAAAATATAAAACATCAAGTAGAAAATGACTGATCTCCATCTGTCCTAGAATAGTCTTGATACATTTTAATAACCAGAAAAAATACATGCAATAGTAGTATAAGTTAACATTCACCTTCTTTTGGTTGAGTCATAACTGGTGTTTGAGTCTCCTTTGTGTATGTAACAATTTCTCGAGGAGGAAAGTCAACTTGTGTAATTTTAGCCATTCCAAGTTTAATAGGCCCACGTCTAAATAAAATGAACAGAGACATTAGAACAACTGATATTTTTAATACAATCATGACTAAGTTAAAGAGTTTCAGATTGCCTGCAGTGATATACAAGACATCATCTCACGCCACACTCTAAAAATCAAGTTTAAATCCAAAGGATGCTATCATCTGAAAAATGCTATGTATGTTATTGATATGCTAGCTTTATTTTTTAAAAGGTGGCTGGCTTATACACACAGACTAGAAGAAAAAGGAAAAAGGCAAAGATATCTGGATTTCTTGACTTTACACAAAGTGTTTTTCAAGGCTTCCTAAATCTTAGTGTATGACAAGGCTTTTTTTCACTGGCTAAAGGATCTGTTTTACAAACCTAACTCATGTGAGCACTACCATTGTTTTCCTTGCTCACATGAAAGATATTTGCAGGATCAGGGTTCCAAGATTGCATAGCTTGCAAAATTGTTTAATTATTCTGCAATTAATGACAGTTTCCCAGTATCATTTAACTATGCTGGCCATTTCCTTAGCCCTCCCAAACCTATTATTTATGACTTAGAACTGTAAGTCTGTTCCCAAACAGTAGTATAATAGCCCTGAACGGAATACTAAAGAACTTAAAGATTTAACAAGAAAAACTGAGAACAAGATCTCATTTAAATACTGACATGGGCAAAATGGGTCTAACTGCAACACACACACTATATATATATATATATATATATATATATATATATATATATATATATATATATATATAT